ATATTATTGGATTATTTATTTTTTATTTTTGAAAATTTTTCTGATTTTTTCAGAGAGCGTGGAAATATTTTTAGCTTTCTTAAATTTAATTTTTTGAATTTTTTCGGATTTTTAAATTATGTGTGTGGAAATATTTTCAGATTATTTTTATATTATTTTTTGAATTTTTTCTGATTTTTTTCGACAGCCTATGAATATTTTCATATTTTTTAATTTAATTTTTGTAATTTTTTGAATTTTTTGAATTCTTTTATTATGAGTGTTATAATATTTTTCAATTATTTTATTTTTATTTTTGGAATTTTTTCTGAATTTTTTCCAACAGTGTGGGAATATTTTTGGATTTTTTTAGAACTAAGAACCCTTTCAGGAAACACTCTCATTATTTCATACTCAATCCCTCTAGGACGTTGAGAGCTACTACCCAATCCTGAACCCTGTGCTCAATAGAGAAGTAAAGAAGACTGGAGGACGAGTTCTTATAACTCTTGGAGATCAGGAGATTGACTTGTCACCTTCTTTCACCATTTTCCTTTCAATGAGGGATCCTTCTGTTGAATTCCCTCCTGATCTTTGCTCTAAAGTCACTTTTGTTAATTTCACCGTCACAAGAAGCAGTCTACAGAGCCAGTGCCTTAATAGAGTAATAATAGCAATATTTATTATTATTTTAATTTTCATTATTTTGCCTCTCTTTCTCTCTCTCTCTCTTAGGTTCTTAAATCCAAGAGTCCAGACGTTGATGAGAAGAGGTCCAACCTACTTAAACTTCAAGGTACAAATCCTCATTTGTATTTCTCAATAATTAATTATCTTTTATTAATAATTATGTACAATTTAATTCATTAATTATTCATTAGTGAGTTCCTCCTTCGTTTGCATCACCTTGAGAAGAGTCTTCTCACTGCATTGAACGAGGTCAAGGGTCGTATCCTAGACAACAACAGGTACCCCCAATTCTAATAATAGTAACAACACATCTAAATATAGTAACAACTATTACATAATGTAATCATTAATGTATTTATTTTTATAATCATCACTAATAATAGTAAAAATACATCTAAATATAGTACCAATTATTACATGATGTAATTTTTGTTGTGTCTATTTTTAGAATCATTACTGAGCTTGAGACTCTTAAACGAGAAGGTGCGGTATAAAAGGCGGTGCCCTGGGCATGGTGGTTTCCGTTTTTTTACACGTGTAAAAATGTCTGCTCCAGATGGTGTTGGTTCTTTGAAGAAACGTGCAAGAAGAGAGGGTTTTCGGTACCAAATGGAGCTGAATTTTGGCCAAAAGGAAGACAAGGATCATTTTCTAGCTAGGCTTGATCGAGTTAAGGGGTCTTTAGCTACTAAAAGGAGACGGCCTGTTGACAACACGGAACTGCTTGTCTCACTTGCTCGATCTAGCTGAAAAGGAGGAATCTGAAGTTCAGTCACAGGATACAAGTAGTTCTTCTGCTATGCTGAATAC